CACATTTTGCTCTCGTGATAGGACCAAAAACCCAATAATGAAATATTACATTGTTCAAAAAACCCGATGTGTCAAGCAAGACTTCCAGCTGCCTAGCAATTGACTACAGTACTGAACCAAGATATCTCACTATATATTTACAGTACAGCATGATAAATACAGCACTTATAGCAGTAACTGCAATTTAATTTAAACATCTACAGAATCAGAGGACCCGTCAATTTTAAACCAAAAATCATTCGCACCTCCGATTAGCACGGTTGACTATGTATGTACGGTGCGAAATAAGTCAAAACCCAATTGTAGTGCCACAATTTACAGACCCTGTGGTCATTATGGTTTCACAAACAGAAACTGTTTTTGCTACCTGACAGCCATTGGCATCGTAATCGTCAAAATGTTTAAACAGATAAAGTTGTTGCTTAGTTTGGGTACTGATAATGGCAATACTTACAACAATTAAAACCTACAAACTATAGTACAGTGCATATACGTCCTTATTTTGTCGGAAAACAAGCACACCAACCAACTGTTAATGCAAATGTATAGCAGCCAAATAACGGAAAACGCATGTTTTCTAAATGTGGAGAGTAAAACCAGAGAACCTGGAGAAAAATCCACACAACTACAGGGAGAACATGCAAAATCCTTCAGTTTACCAGGCAAGGTAGGTAACATCTCACCACCGTGTTACCCTGTCTCCTAAAGCAAGAAATCATGCAAGACAATTGGTAAAAAATCATGCAAGGCGTGTTGAGTGCATCGTATGAGACTCCATCTGTTACCTTGCGACTCCTCGCCACACGACTGTGACTAATAACGGCCTTTTTTGGCTTATATAGCGAGCCATGAATGTGTTTGCTAACTGATAAATAAAAACAGATGTTTTCAGACAATACTGCCTTTGCAAACTGTTCTAACAAAGTCACAGCCATTTGCTGAGGGTAAATATGGATATGTGTATGCAGAATTACGATAATAACTTATTCTTCTTGCGTATGGTAAATTACAAACTCTTCAGTATGATTCTGTGGTCATCCAGAACAGACGATACAACAATGGCGCAATGCCCGATCCGCAAATACAATAATAACTGATGATGCCTTTTAACTGAAGATGGACTTTTAGAGAGATGAAAAAAAAATCACGAAGTGCATTTATCGCCCCACAGATGTAACCGTAAGAGACCTGGGATTTGGGAGAACATAAGGGGCAACAAAGCACGTGTTAGGTAAGCTCAGTGATTACACGAGACAGCGGGCAGAGTGGATGTGCATTCTTCGCAGAAGATTTGGTGTATGGTGAAGGCATCGATTTGTTACGCGCTGTTCGTGCTTTATGAATATCAGGTTAATGTGAACATTAATTGCTATTATTAGTGAGCTATAGATAATTAAGGGTACGTTTTTTTTACATTTCATGCATGAGTGAAACAGTCCGAGATGGCTTCTAAATGTGCGGTGGTAGAGACAGGGGTGTTAATAGCACAGGGGAAGACATGAAGAGACAGGACACATAGCGAGTGACACACATGAGAGGGTCCAGAAAAGTATTTAGTGGTTCCTCTTATTTGTTCATGTTTATACAGCGGTACCCTGAGCAAAAAATGCTTCACTATGACACGCAGAATGTTAAACAGCCCACTTATAATGGTCTGCTATATTAACCAGAGTTAAACTGATTAACCAGTGTATCACTGTTTTGGATAATGAGACGTAGAGCAGCGTGTTTTGCATAGTTGAAGGGATTTTACTTCGACCATATGATTTAGCTTTTCACCAGATGTGGGTGTTGAGGTGCCTGGTGAGGCCAAATGGAGAGAATGGTGGTGGCAAAAAGAATACCAACACGGCCAGCTTAATTAATGTTGGCCCCTTTACTAAACCAAAATCGCGGGCTTCTATGATGGACCAGAGTGTACCTGAATTATTTACTAGAAATTGAGTGGAATTGTCTATTTATATCAACAGGAGCACTTTTATATTCTTGGGTCTTTCGGTAAAGTCACGTCGTCTTTTCCTCATGAAAGCTTTAACTCAAGGAGCCCGTTTACGTTGGCATGAATAACAATAAATGAAAAAAATCAACACATTCGTCAATAACACTGCCGTAAATATAGAGTAAATATCAGGTGACATTTCGGGCAATGACCCTTCTACACAGCACATCGAGAGGGCATTGCGTTAGACGTACTCTCTTGGTGATACTGCCAACGCGGTGTCACGAAATAATTGTACTAGTATGCGTAATATAGAGGATGACATGTCTGGACTCAATCATGAGTTTTTCTGTGGGCATGTCACGTTAATAATTAATCATAGCAGAGTTACGTTCAGTCCCGAATGCTTTGGGACCGATTGATGTCGCTATCATTGACATAATACCACCAACTTGGGCAGATTATGGCCATTTTCATAGAATCATTCTGGATTTTGCAATGCATGCCCATCTATTTCTACACAAAAATACACCCAATCCGCCACTACTCATGCCACAGGCTTCAGAATCACTCAAACTTTACGGCGGCCATGTGTAATCCTGCAAGTTTGCAAAAACAAACTCCACATCAATCAAGCCTCCGATGTTTTCTTTACTTGGCATCCAGGAAATTAGGAGCATCCCATTTGAAAGCATCAATCTTTTCCTTTGCATTGTTGTCCACATCTGATGGACACAGGCGGCAATTTCTAAGTTGATAAAGTGACACCACATTCTTTCCAAATCAGGAATCATGTTAACGTTGTTGATTTGGCCAAACTGCTTTGTCTTAAAATTTCATTTGTGTATATTTATTGACCGTTGATAAAGAAACAAAGAACAGCGCCACTTTGTGACTCAAGTGGGTAGCACATTTCATTTTCACTTCCAAATTATGTTAGTATCTACATAATTAATGTTATCTTTACATTTATGAAAATGTCTTGTTTTGCACTGTTCACTCTTTTCAATTAGCGTGTTGTCAGATTTCAAATAATTAACCCAAGATGGACATCAGAATGTTGTAGATTCCAAAGTTAGTGGTGAAGGTATCATCATACTGGGTGTCTTGTCCCAGCATTTGTGAATTATCCTGGATTCATGACCACAATTTGGGCTCTATGTTCAGTACAGTGGCTGTTGTGATTTTTTTTCTTCCAATCCCACAGTTCTCCATGCTTGACTCTGTGAATAAACACTGAAGAAGAGTGTGTGTGTTGTTTTCGAAAGATCTCATGAAGGGTGGCTCTTTTCTCTCTCTCTGCGTTCGTGGGAATGATGAATTGTTTGTTAGGCTGGCTCTTATCAGCGTCATTCTATTTGTTCACAATCAGTGACAGATAAAGCTACCCCTATACACACAGTGCAACATTTCCAGGGCTGATGCTTGATAGTTTGACTTTGGCAAACTCGAACTGCCATATCAGCATACGATAAAGGGTACTGACCATGAAAAGTCACGTACATTTTTATCGTATGTTACTCAAAGTTATATGGTCTCTCATGAGCTGTTGTTTGGCTCCTGCATCAAAATAATACAAGCAAAAATACAAGACGTAGAACATTGTTCATATGTGGTTTGCCCATAAGTTTGAACATTCAAGGCCAGATGAATTGGTATACAAAGACAGTTCAGACTGATGATGTGTGGTGGGAAGAAGGGTCACATCTGCAAAACATACCAGGGCCTTGTGGCGAGAAAATATTCATGCAAACTATTCACGTTAATAAATTAATTGATCCCTAAGTCAATACGGAGGCTTTACAGCGGTTTTCTCTGAAAATGAAAACACTTTTTCCCACTGGAATGTGTTTTTTTACTGCATGTATCTTCCGATTAAAACACTCATCGACAAGTGTTTTATTTATTTTATCACAATTGTTTTACTTTATTTTTATTTCAACAAAACAGTCTGGGATTTTCTATTTATTAAATGCACAGTAAACTTAAAAGACACCACTCAAAACAAAACAAATATCTAGAATTTGGTTGCTATGGCAACAATCCCATATTTTTTTTATACATCACTACATTGATGCCATTGGAGTGCTCTTGTGATTTTACGTTGCTTTAAAGTTTTTTTTCAATAAGAAAGTCAAAACTTTATGTTAGACACCCCAGGATGCATGGTTTGGGCACTACCTACAACAGTGGTTCCCAACCATTCTGCACCCACAATCCACTACCAACCTTCAAAACAACTTAGCGAATCGTCATGCATCAAAAATTATTTTCAAAATAAAATTACTCTAATAGCGCTGTAATTTAAGTAAAAAGCCACGAAAATTATTATCTTGCTTTTAATTAGTTGTGTAATAGGCAATACAAAATATGGTGTTTTATGTAAAATATCGTAGTATCTGCAACAGTTCTGCAGACCACTTCCCAAGGCCTGGTGGACTGTTGACCGTGAAACACAGGTTGAGAACCACTGATCTATAAGACAAAATATATGTTTCTTTGATTGTATCTTCCTTTAAAAAAATCTGCATAAAATTATGAAGAAACATGTTGTTGCACAGAATCAAGTTCAATTAATGTGCATTACATTATTTGTTTTTGAGTGAAAAAACTAAAATGTTCAGAGAATAGCGGCGGCCATAAATAATGTAAGCTATTCTGCACACTATTACAAGTAAAACGATGGTACAGACGTTAACACATCGACGCTCGTTGATGAAATCCCTTCGGAAGTAACCGACGGTTGAATTTGAACACAACAGTTAGAATCAGTGTTTTTTTAATAACATTAATTTAATGCTCGTACATAGTGTACAGCAAGAACCGAATTTATGACACGACCAACTAATATCTCTGGAGCCCAATAAAGTACTCTCCCTTTTCCACCATACGGCTGACAAATATGCACATTTATTCCATTCTGCTTGCCAAATATGCACTATGTTGAAATGTAAAATAGGCATAAATGCCCACAGATAAAACAGATTTAGAGAGACCTTGGAGATGCATACCTTTATGACCGCATGCTCACAAGCGTCCTTTGAAGTTCACCATTCAACATTTGTGTGTTGTGTAGACATTTCTCTTTTTACATAAATAATTTGGGGGACAATTGGCCAACAATAACAAAAGATACGACGACATTAAAATTGTACTATCATGTATATTTCAGTCGAAACAATGCAGAGCCTCAATGAAACGTACCTACAGGTATGGGCGTGCTTTCTGCTTCTTGACCAAACGTTGGTTTTCATCTCACTTGACAGGTACACCCTCATGTATATCGGCATTTTACGCAAAATATGTGTGGATTCAATACTTTATTGTATTGTTTTTCATGGCTCTCTATATGTGCATGGTGGATTTTTCTAATTCAGCAGCTGTGTGCATTTTTGCGTCAAAATGAACAATAATTAGACTTCTGTACATTAATAAAAAAACATCAAAATAATTTCGAAAATTGAAGTGCAGTGATGTAATTTGCTTTTGTGTGATTTTTCCTAACTTCTATACCATGTCGTCTTTCCCTCTGGCACGGCTGTGGGTTGACCGACCAGTAGACAAAAGTGACAGCCGTGATATTTTGGACAATTTAAATCCCTTGTATTGGTTTGAAGAGGCTACTGGACATCTTTGAAACTACTGGACATCTGTGAAAAAGAGCTTCAAAGTTCATCGGATTTCTCCAGGATAAATGAAGAGTCTGACATTTAAACAATGTTATTTTTGCAATTGTTAAAACGGAAAAAAATGCATACATGTATACGTATGTAGTTTATCCTTCAGAATGCATAAGAACACACTTTGATTTTTGGCCTCGAGATAAAATGAACTGTCAGAACTTGACACTGCCTGAAGCTTGGCTTAAATAGAAGATGAAAAATTGCTTGGCTGGACCTCCCACAAATCCAATAAACCACGTGGTTTGTCGGACTACTGATGCAATGAATGTGGGGTCACATAAACAGCGCTTACAATAAAATCAATTAGCCTTCTACTAAGGATTAGGAAGCTATTTGAATACATTCACATATTTTTTTCATATAAAATATATGCATACAAATAACATAGGCATGACACAATGTAAGCTTTAATCAGTGTTATTATAATACAGTGAAATGTGTAAAACACATCGTTGAAAGTCATGCATTATCAGCCAATACAAACAGAATAAACCAAATATAAACAGGCAAATGATGATTTGCGTGATTGTGCGAATTAACGTGAAGAAAATGTGTGTATTTTTATAATCAAGTGTTTCTGTAAAATGGATCACAAGTTGTATTAATAAACAGCAGAGCATACTGCCCTGTTGACAAATAACTGTGTGTGCATTTCAAAGCGAGTACTGTATAGGAAAAAAACCTATACAGTACTCGACTTGAAATGTATTTACAACCTAAGTATGGCCTCAGGTTTACTCAGAGGTCCTCTGCAAAATCAATGTGCATGATTGATCTACGTATTTGTGTGATCCGCACTTTTGCCAGTTACTAATAAACTTCCCGTACATAAAGCTATGAAATAAATTAGTTCGTTTCAAGCACAAAAAATAAAACAGGTGACAGACGCTGTACCTTAAACGGTTATGGCATGACAGCATTAAGTGTATTTTTTCTCAATAGAAACATCACCGAGCATTAATATGTAGATTCACGCTGAAATAAAAAAAATATATACCTGGCAGTAGATACAAATACATTTACAATACCTCATGCCTGATATAAATCGATACGCAAAATAATAGAAAGTGTATATTTTGTGCAATTTTTTCCACTTAAAAATTGTTATGCGTTAAACTCAAGGTTGATATATACAGGGTGTCAATAAAAAGTATCGTCCATTCATTAAAATTATAAACAGCAGTGTTCATTGTGTAGTTGAACTATTGGCAGCAAATAACCTTATAGATATATTATTTTTTCTTCGTTAGCATAACCTAAAGGAAGCATTGGAATCAATTACTACCCAGGGAACACTGCATGGCTGTACCTGAAAAACTAAGACTCTCGAATATCGGTACGATGTGAGTCCCCGACGCCATGACATGTGGAGCCTCGTATGACAAATGATTCAAACAACCGAGTGTGTGTGTATATTTCGATTTAAAGCTTTCGTGACTGCAGGGATTAATAATTTTAGCTCTTTCGGTAAAGTCACGTAGAAGGGAAAGAAAGAACCAAGAATATGTGTGTATAGTTTTATGGAAATATGTTCAGGATCTAAATGCCAAAGTCAAGGTCTACTTGCCACCTATTAAGAATGGATGATGTGTTTATGGATAGCCTGTAGTATTTAATTAACTTTAAATGAACAATTGATATGAAACCTTTACAAAAACATTATTAGATGTCGGTGCGCGTTAGCAGAAAGGCATTCCGTTCGAAAGTTTCAGTTGATCATTGTTCTGTGCTTTTAAAGTTGAGCCCAAAAGCATCATTGTCTTGTGTAAAGCATCATTGTCTTGTGTGAAGCATCAATCAACCAAGGGGATTTCCTGCACGTACAGGGCTGGAAATAGTCCCTCTTGTCCGTTCACCTCTCCAAACCACCACCCATCTGGGTCCTTTCTGTGGATGTTGAGAATTTCACCTGCGTAAACAGGAAAGGCAAATGGCTCTTTGAGAGAGATTATTACATAACCTTGAAACAATTGGTTATTATTGTTCACTGATCCTTCAAGCCAAATTTCCATTCGGCTCTATTTTTAAACGTGTTTTAATCCAGGACATTATTCTTTTTTTTACTTGCATGTTGGGGCCTTGAAATATTTTGATGTTATTCACTGTGAATATGTATTAAAACACATTTGTAATTGTACATTAATTTGGAATGGTGATGTTGCATTTGTAATAATGGCAAAGGATCTTAGATGGTGCAAATTAAAACCATTTGAAACACAACACCATCAGTAATTCATCAGCATCAAGTGTTCTAAAGTTCTTACCTTCCCTAACGGTGAGCTCTTCATCCGTGATGGCAATGTGATCATAAAGGACTCGGCATTTTCCAATTACTGAAAAACAGAATGAAACAAGCATATCAGAAATCATATTTTGTTCTTGCAGTCGTCCAGCCTCCGGTTAATATAACTTATTTCATTGTGTCGTGACTTGCAGAATTCGCACACCAAGTCAGCGAGTGTCAGCTTTAAAAGCATATACCGTATATATTGTATGTATGTTAAACTTCTTTCACATCGTACGTAACCACCCGTGCTAATCGGAATTGCGGGGGAAGGACAACAAACTGAAAAAAATTCTGGGCATCAAGGTAGGTCCTGCACTGTTGAGACAGCCACGAACTAGGCCAGTTATATGTCCATGCGCACAGCTCTCATCTCGGAAGAGGTAGAGGGTTAATGATGTGCAAAAATGTTCGAAGTTAAATGCCAAATCTAGACAGGAGGATGTCTGAAGGAATGGCGATTGTGAAAGCCTAACATTCCTCCAGTATTATTTAAAAAGATAACTGACTTCTTTCCATACATAATGCATGTTTAATTACACTATGTAATACGATTGTTGTCCCTGGGTAGTAAGTGTTATTTTTTTCATTGCTTATGCCTCAAAAGTACAGAAAATGGCTTTTATTCCCCACAAACTTTGCTTTTGTGACCAGGACTTTATGTGAAGGAATGACACAATGCACACGTTTTCTCATTGAAAATAGGTACATTTCAAAATATCACCGTCCTGGTCACAAAGGCGAAGTTTGTGGGGAATAATAGTCATTTTTTATACCTTTGAGGTATAAGCAATTAGGAAATAACACTTACTACCCAGGAGCGAAAAAAAATATTTATTACAAAGTGTTATTAATGGAGTAGATTATTAACTTTACTTTTGTGTCCTGCTCACAAAAGCAAAGTTTGTGGGGAATAATAGCCATTTTCTGGACTTTTGAGGAATAAGAAATTAGAAAAAAACACTTACTACTCAGGGACAAAAAAAAATGTTTTGTTATCTTACGTCCATTAATTATAATTATACATTCATAAATAAGATCAATCACCAGTACAATAACAAGTTCCAGATTAACAATCTTGTATGTTCCAGATTAACATACAAAGATAATGTCAATAATGAAGCCATCGAAACAGCTTAATTTTTTCTTGTGACTCGTACGATCGAACATTTCGTTCTTTCCTGATTACCAAAATTTCATGTCAAAATAAGATAAATAAGTTGTATAAACGAAGCTACACTTAGCAGGCATGAAACAAATGCCAGTTTATTTAACATTTACCTAGTCCTGGTGTCCTATTCAGTGGCGAGTCAGTGAGATTTCTGCGTGTGTACCTATCAGTATCATCATAACCATGCCTCTTCACTCGTTTCTAACTGCCACTCACTACAGTTGTCCTCCAATACAGCAGTGCCACCTCGTGTTGGGGCCGCGTTCCATTGCTGCAGGTCAACAGCAACGATAGGAAATGTGCAGCACATAGCTTAAAGGCGTTCCTGCTTGCACCACGCCCGCAGTAAAATGTACACGTACAGCCATGTGTCAATCTACTGTTGGATGATGACCTCTCTGAACCATGCTTTCACCATACTTGACCACACTGGTGAGTGTGGATTGGTGAAGGCGGGGGGAGCACGCAAGCTGAAGTAACGCAAGGTGGTCCAGATGTCACGTGTCCCCCCCAATGAATTGACCCCGAACATGTTTTCCTTTGCATATTAAGGTGGTCCAAATGTCACGCGACCCCCCAATTAGTTGACCCCGAACATGTTTTCCTTTGCATATTAATTTAAGTTTTAAATGAACTTTCCTGTAAAACAAATAGTAGTTTTAGATAATTAAATGGGGGTCATAAGACTTCTGGACCACCCCGTACAATGTATTTTGCTCATCTGCCCTCTCCTGGCAACAGGTAGAAATTACACTTGGACAGTTACAATTACTGAAACGGATTAGAGCTGGTACATGAGCACTCATTAGCTTGGTACTCTGTGTTAATGAGGAATGCAGTGTCTCGTTGAATTCACTTTGCACAAATGCCAATAGGAAACAAAGCAGTTAAAACAATGCGTCGAAATACAAGTAATATTAGGCAATCTCTAATTATGAGAAGAAGAAAAAAAACATCTGTCTGAGGTGTAAATAATTCCGCTGTTGAATTTATTCTCTTAATCCCAAGCATATGAACTGCTGTATAATCACATAATCCATACCGATAGTATATTAGTCACATACAGTTCTGGTTATCAATTGCATCTAGATGTATGTATACAAAAGTCACACATTTCTTAACATGCAGATTTTTGCGGCCAATATCATGACTCATAATAGACGGTTGGGTTAGGACGTTAGGCCCTGTAGTGATCTGACCAATTCTAAGTCGTAAGACCCACCACCACCAGATATAGGCAACCACATTAAAGCGTCTTCTGTGCAAGCATTTAATGGGCCAATTACTTTTGCTTTTAACTCACCGGTAAGTTGAATAACAATTCTCACAACAAAAAGGTAGCAATTCGATCTTTACGTTTGGCTTGAAACTGTGCCATCAGTCTTGTTGCCATTCTGAAACTCCAGTAAGAAAATTGCCCTGCAGTTGTTTGGTGCAGTTTCAAGTGAAACGTCGTCTCTAATTGCTATGTTTGGATATGAGGACTGTCACTTAGATTCACGAGTTTTAGTTTTACACCATGAGCCTCAAGGCATTGGCACCAAGCACATACTGTATATGAAGGTGTTTTTTTCTGGCTCTGAGCCTCGGAAATTTACATTGAATATCAATAATCTTAAGGACGCCTTCGATAAGTCTTGGGGACATTAATGTTTGTTTTAAAATTCATTTCCATTGAGTGTGTGCTGTATTGTTTATCGTGTACAATGTAACATATCAGACTTCAGTGTGCTCAGAGGCCATGCTACAGTCAGATATGGTTATTGATTCCTTTTATTCCATTCCAATAATTTCTGGAAAAATTCAGTGAACGTTTCTGAATTTTCTTTTGACTTTGAAAAGAAATAGTCGCAAATTCAAAAAGACCCAGTATGGAATAGAGGAAAATAATTACGTTTAGAACTAAGGGATAAAAGTAGTCAATTATTCCCTCTCCCTGTGTATCATTATACTCTTATATATTTTTATTCTGGATGTATTGAACATTAACCTTCAAAACTTATTGAGATTAGATGTCCCCACAATTGTAATGTGGAATTTCGATTCAAGATCATTGTCGCAAATGGAGATAAGCACTACCCCGCGACTGAGCCATTTGACTAAGAAGTCAAACATGTGAAGTGTGAAGTGAAGTGGCCAGGTGGCTGAAAGGTCAGAGCACTCGGAGCCTGCGCCGCTTAGAGCCTGCGTTTAAATGCAGAGAGCTGCCCGTGATTAAACTGGGCCCTCAGTTGATGGTCTCAACTTATTTGATCCATTAATCGGTAACTGCACAAACTAAATCATCATGCTACACACACGTGTGGCTTAGGGTCCATTCCCCTAGTCAATATTGCAATGCGTCAACCCTCACCGTATCTATTGTAACGATATGCCGCACAAGATGTTTCACTCCACGTGGCAAATTTAACCCAAATGCAAGGAGCGTCACGATGCACAATTTCATACCTGGCACCTCTGGATTGCAATGCGATGCTGAGTGCCTAATTACGCATGCAATCCATAATTGGTTAAGCGCCCACCGGATGCGAGAGCAATGTGGCTATAATTTGAATTTAGAGAATGGAAAATATCAGTTTGACTCTCACATGTAAGTCTTGCTGTGTAAATAATAAAATTACCACCTGCGGGATTTTTCAGAATTACTGTAAAAAAAACTATTACGTAGCCATTCTCTGACACATTGCAAGATTTCTGAATTGATTCTTCATCTCATTGCTTGATTCCAGTCACATAATTGAATACATTATCGCAGAGACTGAAACATTCAGTCAAAGATGGAAATTATTTCCAATTGAACACTTGTGCTAGTTGTTGTAACTGTTTGTTTTAAGCAACCCTGTCTCAAGCTACATATTTTAAATTATATTAACAGCTTGAATGTCTGACAGCTCAGCTTGAGACAGCTATGGGCATGATTGATCATGGTATTTGCTATTAGCTATGTTGTCACCAAAGCTTATAACCATAAATCAGCAGTTTAATATTGGGAGTTGACCCACATGAGCAAAATGTAACATCTGCTTTAACATGGATATTGAAAGTCCTGTGACAGAATTTGTAACAATACATTATGCATATCATAATTACATCTAAACACATACATTTGAAAATCAACTGCATCTAAATTCTAAAAACACTCACGTGACCAAAAGCATGACATTAATTATTGACCATAACTTGGACCTTACCTGGTAAAGGTTCACCCTGGTAGGTATCAATTGACAAGTCAGAAGCTGCAGCCCCGATGGTGTTGGTTAAAAGGCTCGCCTGCGAATCTTCTACCCGATAGTTCAGATCAGCATGAGCCCCGGTCCCAGTTGCAAATTGTTCACTGTTTGCTCCATCTGTCGTGTTGGTGGATCCGAATGTTGCTTGCTGCTCATCGCGGGAAGCGGCTCCTTGCATGCCCAAACCTTCAACTGTAACAATGCTGGATCCATCTGTCTCCTCCAGTACGGCGTGGATGCTGCTTTGAAGACTGCCCGGAATGGCTCTCAATTCCCCACCAACATCCGTTTCTGCAAAAGAACTGCCGGAGTTTTCGGTTCCATCGACCCTCTCTTGTGTCTCGTGTCCTTCCCCCGAGTTGAACCATCCGATTACGGAGCCCCTCGGATGGGGTGCCCTGGGAATCCTGGCAGGAACCCTCCTAGCTGCGGCTCCCGGCCTTGCTCCGAGGTGCCGAGCGGCGGGGCTGCCCTCGTTGATGCGGTGATTGGACCGCTGAGCACTTCCCGCGGGCTCACCGTTCCTCAGCATGAGGCTGTTCCTCATGCTGGCGATGCGCCGCCACTTGCCGCGTGTGTTGTTGTTGTTGTTTTGCCGGTGCGGCAGGGACGTAGGCCGGATTTGGCGGACGACGCCCGGGGGGGCCGTGGTTCTGGCCGCGTGTGGCTCGTGGGTGCTGTGCCTCGAGCCGAGAGGGCAGTTTGGCAGGCCACAGCCCTCCTCTGTCTCTGCCTCGGGTATGCTCAGGGCGCAGCCCTCGTCCAGCTTCAGCTTGGGCATCCGGACCATGGCATGCTTGAGGCCCTGTCGATTGCAGCGCGTGTCGAGTTGAGGAGTTAGAGAGAGTGAGGAAACGTGGCAGCGTTGATCGTGTACGTTTTGCAGTGATTTAAGTTTATGCTCTCGTGTGTCACCCAAAACCCATCACAATATATGCAGCGTCGGATGTACTGTACCACTTGCACAGTCATAAACTAAGTGTATGCTTATTTTTGCAAAGCAGCTTAAAATTCACAACACGGGCACATTTGTTGAGTTCTACACCAGGCATTGTAATAAATTAAAGTACAAAATAAAATAACCCACACGATTACATTTTCTACGTAATATTATGAATTACTACACGTCACCACTTATATTGTCATTCTATATCCGTTTGCTCTGTTCTTATTTCCATAAAGCTTGAGACCGAGCTGGAGCACGTGCCTTCTTAGCACGCGAATGCATCATCCTCTCAAGGGAAACATCTTTCTGCCCCAGCTGTTACTCACTCGCATGCATGGGGGGGGGGGGCGTATTAGTACATGTATACACCTGTGACGGCTCCCCCCCCCCTTGTGCTCTCGGTCCAATGCAGATTCACACCTGCTTGTCGGACCAGGCGATGACACGGTCAGAGAGCATGTGACGGGGTCGTTCATGCGTCTCCAGGTCAGCGAGCACACACTCCAGCTTGTGCTGATTCAGCTCAAGCAGATGCACCTTGAACTGGCCCTACAGCAAAAACACACAGGGCAGTGGGTGACTTGGCCTACGTCGTAATGACGACGCCAGAGACAAAAGTGGTCTTTATTGAGTAGGAGGTGGCGTTCAAAGGGGATTGGGTGCAGCTCCGTGGTGAGCGTCAAGCTAGGAATCCTAGGCATTCGGGGATAGGAAGCAGGCAGAATTGTAGCTCTTTAGCGTCGTTGAAGGGGAAGGTGCGGGATGCGCAGTGGAAAACGTGTGCATACCTGTCAACCCGTACGGTTTACCCGTATTCTTGTACATGGAAATTGAGTTTGTAGGTCTATACGGTGTACAGCCGTTTCAATAGGGCAACATTTTTTTGTTGTCTATTTATTTGTGTTTCTCCCTTGTCATGGGACTTTTTAAGATGATCTTTGGGATTTATAAGGGCACAGGGTGACCAATAAGGTCTGAAATGGTCTGTAATGAGGTGGGCACTGATAAGGGGTTGACAGGTATGCGTGTGAGGCCATACAGGAATCTATGCCGGTGGTGATTCACCGAGGTGGCTGCCCGTCACTTTACCCTCCTCCAGGCATAGACAGGCAGGGTAGGCCACGAACTGGGCCAACTGCTAACGAGGACTGAGGATCCACTTCCCTTGCTCGCATTACCTTCGAATTGTGTGACAGACCTGAAATTGGTTTGTGGCTTTAGTTAACTTCAGTGGCGAGTGATATCAGAACTGGAACTTCAACTGACCTGCACTGACTGGCATGGTGAAGTATGGTTAAGCAACTGCTACGGCCAATAGGGTGTGTGGAGGACTTTCATCCAGCGGTCGGTCACCAAAACGCTGTACACTATCAATATTATTATCATTATACAATTATTGCATGTGCACAATGTACATATTTTGACGTAAATATAACTGCATGAAATGAACGTTTTATAAAATGTCCCTACCTCTCCCAGTTTGCTTTCCAATTGGGCTCTGGTGTGCGCGAAAGAAGACGTTTCACCGTATGTTCCAGTGAGTCTCCTTAAAGCTGTGAGTGGAAACGCACCGGGCAAACCGAGTTAATGCAATGGACATCAACAAACAGATAGTATTGAAATTATTCTAAAAATAATACTTAGCCAGTATTGGTGCCATCTTAATGATCAAACTGTACAGTTGTCAGGATTGGCACTACCTGAATTGTGAGCGTGTGTGAGTTTACCGTTGTTTTCATTCTTGGTTTTCTGCAGTTCTGTATTCAGGCGGGAGATCTTGTTGTTCAACGAGTCTGCAAGTCTCCCTTCATCCATGTGACTCCTGGCTACTTCTTCCTGTAAGTGCAGGACCACAGAGCAAATGCTGATCTATGCGTGATTGAATAACGAAAGCTGGGACAAAGGTCTCAATTTGTTGGACCTTTTACTGAACACTCCAAAAAACAATCTAATCTAATGCATGGTTCACTATAATTTGTTAACCAATGGTGTAGCATATTAAGCAGGCGTTGAGAATGTACGCTTTAAAATAAAACATCGTGCAAATCAAAAAAATTATTTTATTTAAATAGAAATGCAAGATTTCAGTCATAGCAGCTAGAGTTTATTCATTTACTTAACCAAGGGTGTGTTGCTAGTTTTGGTTGTGCTAAGGATTGCAGTCCAAGCAAGGCTATAGCTGTGTTAACACTGCAGTTAACATCACAGTTATGAGTACATTCCAGTCAAATGCATTACAGCAAATGCTGACTAATGAACACATCACAGTAGTACATGGGAAGTGACAAATGCAATCACGATTGATATATAATATTCAATATGAATACTAATGTTTTAAAATGTTGCCCACGTCAAGTAACACGGTGAATGCTAAGACAAAGGTGGTTCTACTGGCCACAATGATGTTGTTCTGTTGATCCATTCATCTATACCGGATGTGGTGATCATTGTATCCTGGTTCAGTTTTTTCTATACATCATGGGAAAAGCCCACCAGAGTGCACATCCGATTAGGATCAGCGGAGAAGCATATCGTGTGTGCAGGCGGTGCAATTGCACAGGCACCCATGGATCGGAGGTTGCCAGGCACCGGGCTATGAAGAGGGGAATTTGGACAAGAAGAGTCGATTTGATTCCTTGCATCGTGGCCGGGTCAGGACTAAGACTGTGCATGTGTGTGTGTCGTGTGCATTGGGTTTATGCAGGGGTCGGGAACCTTTTTGACTGGGAGAGCCATAAAAGCCAAATATTTCTAAATATATTTCATTGAGAGCCATATAGTATTTTTAACGTATAATAAATTAAATATGTCTTACTTTTAATGTGACTTCTGGTCACGGAACCCGTGACCCGAGAAATTGTATCTTCAAAACTAATTTCTGTTTACTTTAAAGTGACACAGTATTATTAAGCAATATCACAAGTATTTTAAAATCAGTTCCAAACTGATTTTATTTTTACTTTTTTTATTATAATTTTTTTCAACTCAAAATTGTCTGGGAGCCATATGCCGTCACCGGAAGAGCCATATATGGCTCGCGAGCCATAGGTTCCCGACCGCTGGGTTTATGGGTCCCACAAGCTCACGTAGTAGTCTGCAAGCATGAGCTCCGTGTTCTCGTGGTGAGCCCAGTTGGTCATCCCCTCGAGAAGCGGCTGGAGATCCTGGTACACGCTGATTCGACCCACCGACTCCTGCACTTTACCTGTGATCTGACATACATACACACAAAGAGAAAGATCCCCTAGATAGCCATAACAGACTTTTGGAGCAAGTGCTGTTAGCAAGCACCTATGAAGACCGACATGGCACATGAGGGAGTGGGTGGTCAGTACCATTCCCGGCCGCCTTTGTCTCCCCAGTGAGTCGACCTAGGGGAGGCGCAGGACCAGTTCAGATTATCGTCACTGGTGTTGGCCATGAGCGAGATTTGTAATGCAGCGCACTAACTGCTATGCCACCGCTCCCCACACACACATACAATTATGGACTTTGCTCTATACCATTGGGAATACATACTGATCATATAAATGCACTTAACTTTAAAACATGATGTGTAATGCCCATGTATAAAAGAGATCACTGTATTTAAATAGCATGCACGAATAATCAAAGCCAATCACATTTTTGTCATGAAGTTGAAAATACCTATTAATTACAGCCTGTTGTGTGTGCTTACCCGATCTAGCTGTTTGATTAAGGTATTATTATTCATCAGCTGCCCTAAACTTCCATCGGCAATTCCGCACATCACGTTACATGCTCGGCTATTTGTGGAAATGTTCTGAACGCATTGAGCTGGGTGATATATCCTTCTGATTATCTGCAAATTCCAGGATAACCTGTGCTTTTTGAGCGATCGGGTTATTCATCTACTTTGTGAACCATTACCATTTCTCCCTTTGCCGAAATACAATTTCGTGATGCGGTGAACCATCCTTGGCGTAGCGCTTACATTGGTGATGGAGCTGGTGTGATCAGTGAGGAGGATGCTGTACTTGTTGAGAAGCTCCTGTAGGCTCAGAAGTCTCTGGTTCTGCAGTTCCTTCAGTTCCTGTAAGAACATTGCATTCCTTTTTTTATTTGCAAGCTTTTTTCGAACACTTTCTCCTGTAGAGTCAGCGTACCATCCCCTCCAAGGTTGATACAATGGGTGCCAATTCGTTTCAAGTCAACCATAGTTATTCTATGGATATACTGGCCCTGCCTTGAGAATGTGGAATTTCCACTATTCCCTCAGGACTTTCAGCATATATGAGTCCCAATGCATTGGGTGTTTTGAGCGGGTGATCAATGCAATACAATGTAGATTTATGTTACAACTCTATGACCACGTCACAAGAAGCTGTACAGAAACAGTGAGCATAGATGTATTGATGCTGGACTTTAACAAGGTCATGTCGTTTTGAAGACATATTGCTCTGGACTGCGACATGATCGTGATCTGCGTTTCCCTCTCGGATGTCTGCGTTGTGTCTTTGAGTTCTTGAATAATAGAAAAATCCAAAACACAAGGGCATGGAGTTGACAGCACAAACGGCTGTGAGAAAGACCTTCCAGACTATGGGAGCATCGGAGGAGAATGAGCGACGTCCCACTGAGTGAAGGTTGACGGTGGGTGCTTTTCTGGAGTGGAGAGAGCACGGTATGGAGGAGAGAGAGGTAGACGGGGCCAAGTCCAAAGAGGAAATTGAACATGGTGAGCAGGATATTAAAATTGGGAGCCGTTGGATGGACTGGAGTATTGGGGTGACGTGGTCTCGTTTACGGTTGCAGGTAAGAAGTCTAGCAGCTGCATTTTGTATCACATTACTTGAGTTTGCTCAGTGAGGGGAAGGCTGCCCCAGCGGTCACTGGGTGGTGCTCATCCACTTTGGTAGACCTGAGCCAGAGGTAGGCAAAGCCAACTGCTGTCGACTTCACGCAACGTGGTGGCAGCCTTACCACATGGTGCTCATTTTATCGACCTTACGAAATAATGGGCTCAATTTGGAGCCTGCTGATGTTCCGAAAACAGGTAATACCTGGCCATATACAAGTAGCAAAAATCTCACTTTGCAAAAAATATAAGAGTAAACGTTGGACTAGCGTTTGAATATTTTAAATTCCGATTACTGTATTTTATCTTTAATATTTCCAAAGTAACAGAGTTTAGTGAGTGCTGAAACACGACCCTTACTGCAGTTTTGCAAGGTACTTCTTCGGCTGTACATGCTACAGGTTAAAGTCCATGTAATGCGGCATGGCGATAAGTTTGGAGTGGAGGGCTTAGCACCTGACGGCTCTCACATGCCATGTTACCCATTAATGCAACATAAGCTCCGTACTGTATCCACCATGGGTAATTATTGTCAGATGGAATATTTATTTTTTACATGGGTAGCTGAGTTGCAGCTGACACACAACAAGCTATACAGCCTGTATTCTGAGACATCCTACTAATCCCACAGCCAAAATACGTCTTTATTTAGAAATTACCCATCATCCCTACAGAGGTGACCTGTAACAAGTACCATGATAAGTACTGGGTATATATAGTAGGGCTAGTATACGTTAATTCAATATAGGCTGCAACTGTTATAAAAAGACGAGGTGATCTATAAGAGTTTTAATATCTCGGTTTTACTTTTACTATCATGTCACTGTAATTGCATACTGCCAACCAATGAATGCCGTGATGTAATCTTGATCTTACAACCTTTAATCAATCCACTGCTGGATGAAAGCCTCTCGAAGCTGTGTCGGTTGTGGAGGTTGTTTGACCATCATTCAACCGCGCTAGCTCAACACTGCTTCCGTTGTCCCCACCCAATGTTGACTGGCCGGGAAATTGTAATTCCATACCTGTCAACCCCTTATGAGTGCCCTACCTTATTACAGACCAAAAGTCCCATTACAAGGGAGATACACAAACAAATAGACGAAAAAATATTAACATTTCTGGCCCGTATTCAAACGTCTGTACGTCGTATTGACCGGAAAACGAAATTTCCCTCTGCAAGAATATAGGTAAACCGTATGGGTTGACAGGTATGTAATTCATTACAGTTTATTTCAAAATACATTTGTGTTAACGTTTGAATAGATTGTTGATGCACAAACATTGGCAATGTCAACTACATACAGAAAATGCGTTTCTTGTATGTTTTTTATTACCGCAGTATTCCCCTGAAAACATACGTTTGAGATTTTAGTTCTTACCAATATTACGTGAACGTGGGGTGTTTGTGTGGTTGTGTAAATATACTGAAATGGATTTAACAATGATTCAAGGGTGTCATTTTAAAGCATGGTTTAATATGACCTGGGTTCCAAAAGCGTAGGACATGGACATTGTTCGTTACCTGGAAGTCATTATAATTTCACAATGGTTATTGCAGTGGCGACTTATATGATGCATGTTCTTTTTCAATGTGATTACTGTGAATTATTTGCAAACATGTTCAAGGTAGCTCATTATATTTTCACCTACAGTACATGTGTCGCGGTCTGTTTTGAACATATTCACACTTATTCATGATACATTTGTAGTGACATATAACGGGTCACTACGGCACTTAGCGGAATAGTGGGTATGGTAGCCCTCTCTGCCAGCAGAGGATATGATGTCATGGAAGAGGTTTCTGGGACTGGCAGAGTAGGGGGCAATGGTGGACGTAGTAGCCCGATTGGCCGGCAGGGGCGCGTGATGGGATGTAGGCCAAAGGTGACAGAGGTGAGTTCCAAAATGGGGCGTGGCCAAGGGCAGAGCCAGGCAAGGGACACGTGGAAGGTGACCCAGAACCTTCTAGTGGGTTCTGGAAGGGGGCGTGTTCGAGGGCGGAGCAGGGCCGCGCTGAGAGGCATAAAAGTGGGGTCCCGGGGCTGCATAGGGGCTGTCTGCTAGAATGGAACCCGCCGTGCTACGTCTTCTCCTCGGTCTCCAGTCTTCATACTCGGCATTGTGGGTCAAGCAGTGTGCCGACTGACCTGACCCGTTTATATAGTTACTCCATTGTGGTTACTGGTTATGTAGTTACCCCGTTGTGGTCGTCGAATAAACGTGTTGCCTCCTGAATTTGTGTGTCTCCCAAGTGAATCCACTACACATTTATACAAGTCAAAATAGAAAAGCCAGCGATGGCCAATACACCAAGAGCTGTGATCTAAATTGGTGGATCTCAACGGGTCCCGTGATCTACCAGAAAGATTATGACCAACAATTTTCAACCCTAAATATACTATAGACATAACGTATTCAGGCCCATCTATTGGTAGACGTTGTGTTTGCTTTAAACGCATGAATTCTTAGTTGGGGATGTGTATTTGCCATCAGCCTTAACGACTATTGTTAGCTGCTTATGTTAGCTATTTGGCCAGTATCAAGATGTTGAATATTTGTTCTCATTTGCTATCCAGCTATGGACCGTAATCCACGTATCTGTCACCGCTAGTATAATCAATTATTTTAGTACTCAGTTGTAACCGAGCAATTTTTGTTCGTAAGATTTTATCACACTATTGTTTCATTTAAATTGAATGCATTGGTCCTCCTTTTACATGCTTTGTGTTATAATTGACAATTATCCCCAACAAAATTATGTTAAATGTTCTGCTATTCTTCAAACATCAAAGCAAGGTTTTTGCAGTAACGGATGTTGTGACATGGTAGCCTCGTGTTCAAGTATATTCCTGATGTCTATATTATTTGGGAAGGAACCATATGATGAACTGATGAGTTGATATCACTGACGAAAGGAACATTCCCATAATTCATTTTTGCAGTGTGAGATTATTTGAGATTCTGTTTCATATAAGAGGAATGAGGGGATTGTTGTTTTGCTCGCGACAGGCATGGCACAGTGGGCAATCTGCGAAGCCCGATTTTGCACTGGCTCAATTCCCATCTGGTGGCTCACCCAGCTGACTCCAGTGCGATACTCAGAATGTCCATGCCTGGGAAAAAATGTCCTCACGCAATTGGAGATCAAAAAGTGTATGAACCAGAATTCCTCTTGTGTTAGTGCTGGATTAGTTGTGCTCCTTTGCCAAATGTTGTACCTTTCCCTCATTCCTCTTAGACATCACTTGAGGATGTATTTTCGCATGTCCTCCACACGCGACAAGTTGTCGACATTCTTTCAGTGGGGAAAGGGCGGTGGCTTCTTCTTGCTGGCATCCCAAATGTTCGAAACATTTCTCTTTAATCTGATACATAAGCTCCCTGCTCCCTGAACACCCACAACCTTAAACATGCGAACAAGTGGTTATATTGGAACAGTAATGACTCATGTGCACGTAATTTGTAGCAAACAAGAGTGTATGTTCCATTGAGAGCAAGATTAAGCTCTTGATGCAGCACACACTCTTGGAGCACCCGCAGTTTCTGGTAAGGATTGATTGAATCATGAATATTAATTATTATTTTTAACACATGCCCAGTGTCACAAAGGACATCTCATATGTTTTAATACTGTATACCCATTATCATTCATGAGACTAGTTTGCATTCAGTTTTCCAATACGTGCCGAATCGGTGTATTTTAATTTGGGATGCCAATCCCAAGTGTCAACACCACAATATGAAGGCTGCATTTTTGTGCCGGGGATGTGTATGTCTAATTAACAGAGCTAAGGCCATAAATCTAACTGTGCCCTTCAAAAGCCGAGTGAGCTACGGTCTTTTATGCTTGCTCTAGAAGTGAGTTCATGCATGAGCATGTCATTCTGAATGTTCTTTAAAAAGAAAATCTATTTGCTCTTTCTGATTGAAACAAATGCCCCCCCCCCAACCGAAACTAAGTATATTCTTGGCTCTTATTTGTTACTCTTTACTAATTTGATTATTTATTGAAAAGTCCATGTGAACTTGGTCAGCAGCTTTGGAAGAAAAGAAGAGATCGCTGGAGTAAATGACTTTGTGGTAGGCTGCCCGAGGCCCGCACATTCCCGAGAGCTGCTGTACTCGGCCTGCAATAGGGCATGACCAGTGAAGGGGACTGTTTGCTTCACTGCCAGACTTGACCAGCTGTCACTGCACATCAGCCTCCCCTTATACAAAACCCCGCCACCACCCCCCAAGGCAGCTAAACATAGTTTGCGTGTACCAGGGAAGCAGTATGCCACCAGTGCTGAGGATGATGCTGCCATTAGTTACCTTTCCTCGGGAGGCGAAACCAGCCGGGTTACATGGGGGCGCATGCAAAGGGGCAGCACTTGATTTTGAAGGAGAGGCCAAGGCACAACTGCTAGTGTGCACAATAGTAAACCGAGGCAACCGACATAGAGGGCATCACCGCAAGACAATCCGTTTTCAAGTTTTATTCCAAGTCAGGGGAAGGGGAGTCATCTCACCCCATCATCTCTTGTGAGGTCCCTAAAATGAGTATCACTTAGCAGTCGTCATATGAAGAGTTCGGTACCTGTCATGAAAATCTGTAATTTATGCCACTGGCTCAGCGGCAACCGGAAACATTTGTGCCACCCAAATTCTCACCTGAGCTGGTGGACAGTGAGCAGTTTTTTGGACTTGGCATGTCTCATATGCCTCACCCTCAGACCTTGGAGTCCCCGTGTATATGTCGCAAACCTAAACCAAGAGCCTTGTAGTTAAACACAAGTGTATGTCATATGTATGCCAGCTTGGGTAGTGCATCTCCTTCAAATAAAATCAGTGGATTTCGATCTTCACACCGTTCTTATAGCAGAGGGCTATCATGAAGATGCTACGTTTCACAGACAGTCTGCGGTCATTTCGGAATAGGGGGCGACATTCCTAGGTGTCATCTCAATTGAGCATTTTGCAGGTACATTTTCAAATATGGACTATAACACCGGCACACAATGGCCTACAATTTTCGAATGACATCACAAGCTAATTAAAGTTCACTTTGAAGCATTACACCGACAGTGTTAACCCGGGCAGCCTTCTGGATAAGAGCCTCGAACCTCTGCAAAAAGTGGCAAATGTGCTGCTATCCAACAGGGTGCAGTCCAACAGCGAACAGACAGGGCCGCAGTCAATGAGCTCAACAGCCAGGCACAAAGAGACAATGCGTTCCACAATTGCCTCTGGCTCCTCACGTCCTGAGTAACACCCGGATGGCAGCATAACAAAGTAATTTTTGGCGGTTAAAGGCGGTGCCACTAGCCCCACGTGGCCTACTTCGTACTGCAGGCCACATTCCGCACATTGACGGTGACTTCGGCCTATGGTTCACACGGCGTCTCGTGAATGACGTCATTCATGAACTCGATCTCTTACCTCAGGTAGGGGTGGACGTGCCGGGGCTTACGTAGGAGGCACTACTCTCCGCTGGCGGTGACCCACCTCACAGTTTTGCTCCATGGTCCTCTCCCACTGGCATCGGTACTGAGCCCCCAAGATGTTATGCTCATAGTACTCTTGGTCTGCCTTCTCCAGGGCCGACATGGACTTCTGCATCCGTGCTTCCACCTGAAAATGTGGCCACAAAATGAATGCCCGTCATCACGGAGCCCATGTATCCGCAGCCCAATGATTGTGGGTTTTTGAACACGTGTTGCTGTACAGATATTTACTGCAATGATCAATTGGTTTAACATCGTTACGTCAAGTATCTCCTAATTAAGAGTCTAAGTGAGGGTTAATGAATACTATTAATGCATACCTGGTCTCTAGCTACTAAATAAGCAACAATTACAACATTGCCTTTATCAATGTTAAACCTGATATATAGTTACACAATTTAGCGATGGTATTTCAGGTTTCTAGATCGTTAATTGTTTTAAATAAACTTAATTTTGAAGACATTTCGAAATCATTGTTAAATATGATGAACATGCAACAGATTTTAATAGTTTTATGCTGATTTGTATCTTTGAAATTACTTTATTTCTTCATTTTATTTCAATAGCCATCCAAAGCTTACTTACGTTTGTTTGTGTTCTTCAAACACGATCAATTCAAAAGCCATAATGTGCAAACAAACCCCCGAGATGTGATTCGCGATTTACCTTTCTGCTGTCCTTGTCATTGCGAATGGAGAAACCTGCAGAGGACGTGACTAACAGCATCTCGTGGTTCCGCGAGCACTGGTAAAGCTTTCTCTGCAGCTGTCAACACAAACACAGAGCTGTCACGATCAAGCAGGCATGCAGAGGATATCCTGACATCACCTTAAATCAGGGGCGGGGAACCTTTTTTCTGCCAAGGGCCATTTGGATATCTATACTATCATTCGCAGGGCCATACAAAATTATCAACTTAAAAATTATCCTGTTATATTTGGTCAAACATTTAATTAACTCACCCCTAATGCGATGGCTGGAACTGCTTCTCTTTGGTGAGGCGTGTGATATTAGCTGGTATTGATGATGTTGCTACTCACAACTGCTTTTCCAGGTTTGCTCCTAGATTTATTGAATTTCGAGTCCCGCCTGCGGTTGCCTTGGCAGGGCCAGACCAAATGATTTCGCGGGCCTGATATGGCCCGTGGGCCAGACGTTCCCCACCCCTGCCTTAAATGTTACCGCCAACTCCTCCAACGCAATGACACTGAGGCGAGGTTAATAGTATAGGGACTCCTCTACTTACGAACGAGTTAGGTTCCAGAAGTCTGTTAATAAGTCAATTTGTTCGTAAGTCCAACTTTACTCCTGTCGATTCCAAATATGTTGCACGGCATGTACACTAAACACGGAGAATAGGTTTAAAAGTGGTATGATCTATAGATGTGGATGTCACTGGTTCTTAGTGTTCCTCAGATATAGATGCCACCACCGTCATCTATTGCGCAGTGGTTGATGAGTATGCAAGGACCCCTCTGTTCGATATGAGTCATAGTTCAATGTACGACTACATAATACACAACACAAAATTATCATTGGGGTGAACACAAGTTGCAAAAAAAACCAGCAGATTATATATCATTAGATTTGCAAGAGAATCAGTATAGAATCCCTTTTATTACACAAATATCCCTTGGTACACTCCCTGTAGAATCACATTCATGAGTTGTTGTTTTTTACATGGGAATGACTATACTCTATTACACAACCATCCAGCACACATTCAGTGCCAATTATGGAAAAAATGCAATCGTTTTGACTTCAATATCAGATGTGTTACTATATTACAGTCGCATTTTTTTACATTTAAAGTAATTACACATTTTAAATTAAGTCCAGCATAAAGCATTTCACTATTTTGTGGACCAGTGGACAGTTGCACAAGCACCTTAGATCAACAGATATGTGCAATGTGTATCGACTTCATCTGCTAATTAATAACACTGGAAATTGTGCAAACGAAGATCATGGTTGGGCCTGATAACGTGTGCTTTTGAAAGTCCTGATGAATTGGTCAGTTGGCAAAAGCGGCTACAAATTGCCAAATCCCACCAATTTATTCTATTATCTCACAAGGCATTTCAGGAGAGCCATTTCAGATTTTTATTATCAACATGCAATGTGCAGAATGCCATTGAATCAGGTCCATATTACTATTCACTATCTCTAGAATCATGCTAATATGAACTAACGATACCTTGAGCTGGTTGCTGCGGTTTTCAGTCATGATCTTTGTTGCCTTGTCGGCAGTTTGCTCCAACTGTAGAATTCACAAATGTTGGGTGAATGATTTTCATAGAAAATTTCAAGGATACCATGGTAATAAACTTTCTACTGCTGAAATTCGTTTACATATGGTGATATATATTTCATATGAAATAACTGCGAAACACATATAATCAGTTTTTTTTTTTGCAATCTACGACTTGATTTTTTTTTACCCTATATCCAAAAAATATTTAAATATGAAATTAATAAAATATGGGTACACGCTTCACAAACATGTAGTAGCATACGAATTGGCTAATTTAAAGCATAACAAAGTGTGAAGTGCTAACTGATTGAGACATATTTCCTGGCTCAGGGTTATGAATTCCAGCAGTGCAATGGTGTACTCATCATTTCTCATTTATTTTCTCCCACAATTACTTTCCCAGTCATGCTCCTGGAATTACGTCATGTCACATAATTCATTTGAAACTCTCGCAAAGCAGCGCATCCACGTGAGAGAACAGTCCGTGGAACGAGATATGACAGAGCCGCTTCTTATATCTCAAGTGATCTCTTTAAAAAGGCAGATGCAACTTTAGTGATTTGATGTGTGCACTGCGTATACACGGTTGGTGTATCAATGGTATGACCAGTGTAAGTTGTGTTTGTCCATTCCTTTGTGATGCTATGAACAGGCATTTCAACAATGTTTTCATGAAAACATCCTAATTGAAAATGTCACTTTGTGTTTTTCAGCATGCAGTTATTCTCGCAAATATTTTCAATGTAGTTTTATATTTGGTACCAGTTATATTTGGTACCAGTCAAATGTTCATTTGAATACAGTATTAATAATGCATAAGTTGATTGATGATTAATTTATAACGAGGGGGGGTGTGTAAAACAGTGGCATAGTGATGAGAGCATCTGCACTATGAAACCAGCAACCTGACTTTTATTTCTAGTAGCCACGGCTAACATGAGTGGCAAGTAATAGCTGAACTGGTCCTGAGCGCTGCTACTTTACCGACCTGCACTGACCAGTGTGGTAATGTTTGGTAAGGACAAAGATGTGACCAACGCAGCATGGGGAGGCATTTGTCTAGCAGTGTATTGAAAAACGGATGAACATTACACGTTGAATTACGATTAAAATAACTGTAACAAGCCAAAAGAATTATGCTTATTAAAGTCTCATTGTCTATGCTTATCCATAATAGAGGTTTTTTGATTATATCATCGTTAAATCAGCCACCACTCGGCACAACCAATTAGTAAAGTTTGTTACGTAAACCAAACATGCCAATTCGTTACTAGTTAAGCACACTGGAGTGTTGGAGAGCAAACCCACTACATTTACAATTCGAGTACGACGTTTCGCCAGTAATTACAATGACCACCATCAGGCAGGCAGCCAATTTAAGAATTTTCTGTGTCGGGTGGTGGCGGGTATAACGACACATTTATATTCACGCAATCTAATCTAAAAACCTATATTAAGGATAATATTGGTCATGAAAGTCGATGTGTTAAACTGTCTCTGCTTATCTTTGCCTACCTGCTTCTTTCTCTTGCACTCCTCATCAATTTCCACTTGCAGGGCTTTCACAAAGTCTTCTTGAAAGGCTTTGGCGAGATTTCTAAAGATCAGGGGAACAAAGTAGAATTAACACATTGAGGATTAACGGAACAAATGTTAAGGTGAATGCATACTTTAAATTGGTCGTGTGAGTGGGTCCAGACGAGTGTGCACGTTTGGAATACAAATACTTTAGGGTTGTATAATTACTTTATACAAAGGCACACACCTATTCGGGCCACTGCACAAGAGTGTTAATTTAAAAAAAGAATCCTCCTGATGACGATCGCTTGTGTTGTTATAGAAACGTCATAGTTTTGTTATTTTTGTTATTTTCTTTAAACCCATCTACGTGACTTTACCGATAGACCCAAAGAAAATTATTGAAAATTAAGAAAACATTTGATTTTATGATATCCACGTTCATTAAATTATACTCATTTATGTACGTACACACTGGCTACTTACACTGATTAGAGGCACACTAGAGGCACATCATTTTTCGAGGAATATTTGGACAAATTAAAACAATGATTCATGATTTTATTCGCATTGTGAGATGAGAGAATCTTAACAGCATTTAATTTCCACAATGTGACATTTTGAGGACCACAAAAGGTATTTTTTCGCAATCACCAATCACATCATGCATTGGGTCAGCTTGCGTACTGCAGTGACTCATAGCAGAGGCTGTAACCAATCCATGTCGGTCATTCATCATCACAGATACCACACTCGCCCACTGAAAAATGTCATAAATTGCCCACGTGACAACTGACCAACAAAATGCACTTCATTTTAAATCAATGCTGATGTGGTGATAGTTTGAGATAAACAGAACTCTGCGTGTAAAGGGTATGTTCACCAAATGCTCTCAAGAATGTTTTTGTTTTCACACACACCGTCTTTGCTTCACATCACTGTTCATGGCCAGCGGGAATAGGTTTATGTTATACGTAGCAATTCGTGGGATGGAGCAGTGATGTAGTGGTATGCGCACTGTGCGATGAGCCCAGTAGCCTGGGATTATTAACCCACCGCAACTGACATCAGTGGCAAATGGCATCTGAACTGATTATAGGCTCCCCTTCATCCACACGCATTGGTCAGCATGATGAAGTATGGTCAAACACCCACCATGATCTGACACAGCTTGAGGAGGCCTTCATCCTGTAGTGGATTGTAAAATGGCTATAAGTTAATATATATCGAATTTAAATGAGAGGTGGAGTGGGTTTAAAAACAATTTAAAAACTCTCCACGGAGGTGTCCATTCATGTCATGCTAATGTTAGACAAGACATGCATTTTATGTTCATGGTAATGTATGAAAATGCCTCATTTACATGTGTAGTTCAGATGTTGAAGTCATTTCTTGGTATACTGCGAGCAAAGCATTCAACACCGAGCTGCAAAACAGACCACAATTGTTATATCATATTACAGTGGGAAAAACTCACAAGCATTCGCTGAGTATTAATAACACAGTGCGGTGGTTCTCACCAAAATGTCCGCTCCCCCTCTGTGATTCCGCAAAGTCTTTCGCTAGCGACTAATGAAGGTAACAGTTTCTGCATTACAGCCTATGCGCACGATTGTATTGTTTTGTATTTGCATAATAATGCAAATATCTACAAATGTGTTTAATAAGACCATCGTGGTACCTTCAAAACCCGAAAGTCTGACAACCACTGTTGTAGTGGACACTGCTTTAGCAGTCGCTAGTTTAACCGTACACTGGAGGCTTATTAAGTGTGTGTCCCAACATTAACAAGCAAGCCAACTTTGCAGTGTGTCTATATGGCTACATGCGGATATATTTTGTACAACCAAGGGAGGTTTGAAGGTGACATCACGTTGTGGCTTTTTTTCTTCTCTTTCTCGTTTTGAACACCACGTACCCTTTCTCAATCTTGCTAGATACTTTGCATAGCCGAGTCACAAGCTTTTTCAGGGTTCGGCCATAGTTGAGTTCCAGGTCAGCCCTGCGGGACAAAAATAACATGATGCATATATAATCTGGCCACATTCTTTATGAAAGGAGGAATCTGTAATTATGTATGTAATAATGTAACAAACACAATTTAATGCTCTTATAAGTACATGTAAACCTGCTCTGTTTACACAATTAATCGTTGTAATGCAGTGCAGCTTTAAGTATGTTTGTTATTACAACAATTTGCACTTGACTAGGCAAATCCCACACACTGACTGATGGAGACTGGCAGGTGCTGGCACGTCAACAGAAGCAGCCCTTGTCTGCAACGCTTTGTATTCACAAGCTGCTTCCACTACAGGAAAATTACCGAACAGAGAAACGAATGAGCACCTCCATGTAATTCCTGATGAGATAGTAATTATTTTAACATTCTAAATATCACATGTCCTGCGTCGCTGAATGCGATCATTATTGATAAATCAAATGAACCTTCTATCATTTTAACATAAATTGTCCATGAAGACCATTCATAACAAAATAATGGACAATTTAGAGGCCAAACAGTTGCATGAGCAAGGGGAATTGCCTGAAATGATGACTTCCATTGAGATGGAGTTATGAGTTTAGCTTACGTGTATATGTTGTATGTATGTTGAACTTCATTTGTACCATACATAGCCAAGCACACTAATCGGGGGGAATTAAATAAACTACTGTATTTTTCTTACTATATATTTTTTACCAAGTGAGGCCCACTGACGTATGTAGTTCTTTTTTCAGAAGCACACATGATAGGTCATCGAAATGGCGTAGCATGTGGAAAGTTATAACAACCATATACTCTAAACTTATGTTTCTAAATGTGTGGGGGAAACCCCGAGGACCTGGAGAAAAATCCACACGACCACGGGGAGAGAGAATATGTAAACGCCAAATATAAAGTCGTCAGGGTCGGGATTGAACCCACGACCTCCTGTATACCAGGCGAGGTAGTTAACATCTCTCCACCATGGATCGTTGTGGCACTGTACCATGGCTGATGATTAATGATGATACTAATGTTAACTATCAATACAACACATACTCTGCTCAACAGCTGCTGCACAAAATGTCACAGTGTTGTAACAAAATTCATACATGCTCGTGGATTTTTTTTATATATGACACATATAAAAGTTACTAAATGTTTGGACAATCGAAGAATATTTAATTAATATTTAAAATGTTTTAATACTGTCATTACAGCAGCACATATTCGTATTTATGGGCAGCATTACAGATTAAGCTCATTTTCAATATTCGACTACTTTGGCCAAGTTGGAGAGGCATCTATAGCAACATTAAAAATAAAATTGGCTGTAAGCTTACCAGGGGTAGAATACAAAATGTCTCCAAGTGGAATTAATGGAATGTAGCATGTTAATCACGGAGTGTAATAGATGAACCAGTTAGTTCCCAGCGCCACTGTGTGCGATTGAGCAACACACAACTTTGGCTGTGCCTTTAACTATTGTGGTTATCATCAACAACATCAGCCATACTCTATCCACTGTTGGATAAAGGCCTGCCCATGCTGTCGCCATCCTCATTGTCCTGAAATGCCACAATCCATATGAGTCGTGCAACAAGAACGTATCACTCCATCTTTGCGGCGGTCATCCTCTTCTGTCCCTTGGCTGCCATTCTGTCACTAGTCTCGTCCATTGGCCATCTCCCCTCAAGCCAATATGTGTCTCCCCCAAGTGCACTTATATTTCTTAACTCAGCTTCCGATTAGCGCGGCTGGCTATGTACGGTGTGAAAAAGGTCTAACATACATGATGCCTCTATAATACATGATGTTTTCTCTTATCCATGATTTCCTCTTTGTCTCTCATTGTTATTCCAAGTATGCACCTCTTGATGCTTATTTTGTGAAATGTTTTCATTCTGTCACTGTTTCTGATCTTATGTCCACGCAAGTGTAGTGACTCTCAGACAACTTGTACTGTAGAGGTTTCTTTATTTATTATTTAGGGAGTTCCACACACAGATCACTTGGGCCAGGGATGGCACGCAAGTAGCAACGACGCTAAGACAGCGACGGCCCGAAGACAGTCGACCCCAATCCCACGGCAGCCTCGAACCTTGCCTCTCGCCTCCTTTTATTCCCGGCGTGACCCTCGCTCCGCCCCCGGCCACGTGCCCTTTCTCGAACCGTCTAGCCCATTCCAGAATTTCCCAGATGTTTCCCCTGCCGTGATTACCCCTCGTGACCACTGGGCCACGTACTGTTCCTGCACCCGCACTGTCTCCACACATGCACTGTCTTCACACATGCACTGTCTCTACACAAGTAATATGCAATGATTAAGCATTTTATTCTACAGGCACATTGGTATGTTTCCTGTGAAATACCATAAGTATATGTAGATTGATGGGCAGAGGCAAGTCATACATATGTGGTTTTGGGAGATGGTGCTCTTTGGTTTATATATATATTATGTATTTATGTATTTATTCATCACTGTTGTGGCTCATTAAAGAAACATGAGATTGAATGTGACCACAGTTGATCCAAAGTGAGATCTATTCGCTATATGCAATAAATACAAAGTCTCGCCCAACGTGACTCAAGTCATGCTAATGAATTCGAAATAACGATATCTTATTGTTAGTCTCACAAAAGAGCCATCAAATAATAAGATTGGTGTGAGTTAGAATACGAGAGGTTAATTCGCCATTCTATTTTTACTTATGTTTTGATATAAATAATTACCGAATACAAAGTTAGAAATCTTCAAATACTACTAGGATGATACATTGCCATCACCTAAAAAACATGTGAAGCCAATGTCACTATGACCCATCTATAAGTTTCGATTCATTTCACCTCCAGTTATTGCGCACAAATGGCCGAATGTAGTACGTGGAGTTATATTTCATGGGTGTTGCAATATCCACTAAAGGACTGCATGAAATTATGGAGCGTGAGATGCAACATTCAAAATGTATCTGATCTTGTCCAGGAAATGTGTCTGGTGTTCATTTCATGCTGATAACATGATACAGCTTCCTGACATTGTGTGGCCAACACTAGAATGTGTGTGTGTGTGTATCGCATGGAGGGTGAGGAACAAACGTCATTTCCTCCACTTCCTATCCTCACAACTCTCCGTACACGGTTGATCCAGTTCTGGTGCATATTAAATATTGTAGCAAAAACGTCTAAGCATGACAGACATGATTCCATGCCATTTCAGCTGACCACACGATATCAACCTTTGTAGTTTTAATTGGTGATATCAGCTCAATTCTTTACGACACAAAAACATGCATCTCTCTTTGTTGTTGTGTTATAAACAAGTGCAGTGTAAAACACGAGTACGGTGCATATTCTGTAAATCACACATCAAAAAGGTCAACTCAGTATACATCCTCAATATCTAGCACATGCAGCAGAGTTTGAGGACTGTACCAATATTGTTTACGAAGGTCCAACAGTTTGGGGAGAGGAGTGGGGTACCGGGATGTTTACAAACTTACATGGTATACAGGAGGCCGTGGGTTCTATCTCGACCCTAATGCCTGTTTATTTGGAATTTGTATGTTCTCCTTCTGATTGGGTGGATTTTTCTCTGGATCCCCCGATTTTTTCCTCCACATTTATAAACGTGCGTTTAGAGTATTTGGCTGCTATGAATTCCACGTGATAAGCCACTGGTCGCACTATGAAAAAAAGCTATGTAGTGTAATATTTTCCTCAATACTCCCATACAACACTGTGGTGGTAAGCTCGAAAGGAGTCTGTGTAATGACACGGTGTAGTTTGTGCCATTTCACCGGAAGCCTATAACATGTCAAGAGAGGACCATCAGTGGCACTGTGAAGAATGCCCTGCTACTGTCATAGCTCTGTAACCAAACAATGAATGATCATCTCAATCCATCCTAACACTTTGGCTGCAAAGAAACTAATATACATTGTCCGATATGCAATGGACACTGGCGAATAAATGGAACAAAAGCTGAAAAGTGCAAAGACAGCTGTGGAGAGGTGCATGCTTGGAATGACATCGGGAGATTGCAAAATAAACACATGGATTAGATAATGTATGCAGATTCGAGATGAGCCTACAAAACATCCGAGTTTGGCCAAGAAATTGCCAGTTCCATAAAAAAACTAACCAGATGTTTGGAAGCATGTGCATAATTGCGAGTAGTGGGTTCGCTTGCCAGATGAGGAGAAAGTGGAGTATTTAATGTGGTACTACACTGCATTATATATAGTCTGTGGAAAGAGAATGTGGAACTTCCATCACTGGCTAAACGCTATAAGTGCAATGCCCCATGCGCGTCTGAGTTAGGAGACACTGAATGTTGGGGGGGGGGGCGAGTAATTGTATCAAACTGACATTGACTCTTAGGGTGACCTGGGGTAGGGGAGACAATGCAAGACCATGAGAGCCATACCATTGTTACATCTTTACTGCTCCCTCCATCCTGCACCTTACGTCTACCGACTGTAAAAAAACTAACAATATGTTTTTACCAGGTAAGGCCCACTGACCTATACAGCTCTTTTTTCAAAAGCCACCTGGCAACAAATGACAGCTCAACGAAGTGGCTTATCAAGTGGATAAACGCAGGAAGATAGGTGGGCAGTGGGAGCAGTGTAGTCATTTAAAAAAATAATTGGCTACGATTAACCCCAAACCCTTTACTCCTTCCCCATTTCACCCTTAATATCATTCTCTACTCTCTTTGGGTTTTTCGGTGAAGTGACGTAGATGGAAAAATAATAATAAAAAATCACGACGTTTCGATCGCAACACAAGCAATCATCTTCAGGTGAAAAAATACAGCAGGTGGACTGTTGAGGCAGGAATAAATCTAGCGAGTGAGCTACTGCAGCCAGAAAAGACACATTCGGACAGCTCCCCCTTAAAGGTGCCAACCAGGAATGGAGTGAATGCAAAGTGCTGATAGAGAGTAGCCTACATAAAATGTCACATAGTACTGGCCATACTTAGCACCTGCTAGCAGAAGAAACACTTCAATTGTATTTGTTATTTAACTGTGAATTTGCATCGTACATGATTTCTTTTAAAGTCCTAGCAGGGACAACTTATGTGCATTTGTATGTCCTTGAGCAGTGTAATGTAGCAGTGAGATGCTCTAGTAGCCTGTACTAAACTGATTTCATTAATAGTAAATTCATATTTTAAAAAAATGATAATCCACTCCTGGACGAAGACCCTTCCATGCCTTGTTGGTTATGAGGGTTATTAATGATCACGGATAACATCAGTGGCAAGTGATAACTGAATCCTTCCTGGGCCCTCTCACTTTACCAACCCACATTGACCAGCGTGGTTTAAGTATGGATAAACAACACCAATGACCGACACAGCCAGTGATGGCCTTCATCTATCGATGGATTGTGAAAAAGCCTGTGAAATTATTCAATTCATGTTTTAATATATGAGTTTTTGGCGTTACAGAACAACACTTCATTGACAACTGGAAAGTCATGACTTCAGTTTACAGTTTGGGATTGGATGCAAATCAACATCTCTCTGTGCCTTTGATAAGATAAGTACCACTTTGTGGAAAGTCAACAGTGATCATCATCCTATGGAGAGATCTGTACCAATAATAGACGTGTAAAATTTCCACCGCTCGCTCAGGATCTTCAACACAAAAGTATAAATACGTAGGTTTTTTGGGCCTATGGTGCAACATATCCTGCATTTGCAGTGGCGAAAAAAATCCAATAGAGAATAGGGAGGGTTTGTTCATGGGGTGCAGGCAATAAATATCATAGCCAGTCTTTTCAAGATAACTTGGAAAGGCACTTTCACAACCATAACAACGGAAAACATGTTGTTCCCAATGCTGCATGCGATGGCTTGACCTGGGCACAGCATCAATGTTTGGAATGTGTTGCTGTGACGTTACCCATAGTTATGGAAATAAAGTTGAATATTTTAATGTTTACTATACAAACTATACATTGCCAGAGTTGCATGATGTCAACGAAGACAAAAGCACTTGTTAATGAAGCAAATATTCATCAACATGAATTGTAGAATATTACACGTATAATATTAACTTCAGAGATATATAATTGACTATAGTTATGCTGTTGCTACGTTGTTAACTAGGCACGTAATTATAACATACGTGGCAAGGGAATATGATCCCATTTAAATATCACTCTTTGCTTATGTTACCTACACGAGCCAGAGCTTACCAAAATTTACACCTTATGCCCTGCAGCTTTCCATCATTTACCCAATCCAAACATTGCAACTTATCGCAGTCGACCCACCTCACACACATTGCAATGTGAACACCAAAACTCCCTCTCTAACGGACACTACAAATACCATCACCCACCCACATTTTCTGCATTTTCTTCCCCCTCAAATATTTACACCATCCCAAGCTCTCTATCCACTATCCAGATCTCCCTACCCACTATCCCGATCTCCCTACCCACTATCTCGAGCTTTCTACCCACTATTGAGAGGCTCCCTGCTCACTATTCCGAGCTCCCAACCCACTATCCCAAGCTCTCTATCCATATCAATGGATGCCATATTACGCCTACACAGGCCCTGAGGGCAGAATCGTTGTGTGGCAAAACAACCTCATCACCATGATGCACGTGGCCTTCTCCATTGATACAACAGCTATCTTCTGTTTATACCACCCTCCTAAATTCCTAAATATTCACTCAATCAATTCAAAGCCACTTCTCATCCATCATCTCATACAGGAGGGCACCAGTAACATTCTGTGTCTCATTGAGAATTGGCACACACCCTTTGACCTCTATTCACTCTCTGAAGCACCCCCACTCCCTCCACTCCAAGCGAACTCGTTCCTTTGGCAGAGTTGTAGGAATTACTGTCATGTCTAAACCTGCCTTTAAATTCATAGACTATAAATTTCGAAAATGTTTGCTCTCTAGATCGTTTCTCTGTTCAACTGTTACCCCTCCAATCTGAAACTCGTTGTGATTTACCATTTGTCAAAGTCAGGGATGTCAAGGATATCCACTCGCCGCAATATAATGTCGGGTGAGTTTCTACTGCCTATTTCATTCATTTCCATCCGTGTGTTTGCTGTTTTATTGGCCATTTTAAATCCTGCATTTGGTGTGGGGGGAGATAACATGTCCAGGGGCAAACTGTACAGCGGCGGGTAATTTGGAAGTGCCATGGAGTCACTTTCCAGCTTCATGTTGACAAGTGGATGTTTGCCAGAGGTTATAAGTTGTGACACACGTCAAAGGCCGGTACAGTGCATAGTTAGTTTTTTTTGGGAGGAATACTGTGGCAAGCCATGAATTTTAAAAATCCAGGGAGTGGACGATGGCAGCCTTCACGTGGCCCACTCTGTTAAGTCAGAAATCACGACTCGTGCCATCAGCCTGGTGACCGAACATCGATCAACAAATACCCCAGTCTCCAGAGCAATCGAGCCAAACAAAAAAACATTGGCAAGATAATATTACATTCACAGCTGTGTACCGCACATAATTTAAAACATGTCAGAGTTTTCTGAACAACCGAACAGCTGTACATCGCGTAACAAACCTTAAGTGAAATGCAATTGTGAGTATAGCCGTGACTTGTTATTGTTTATAATTGTCATTGTAAATAACATTAACTTTTTTGTTCAGCCATTTGCTAGTTATGTTAAATTGTGATAGCAATTTAGAACAAGCTATACGTGTACAATTGTAATTGCTATGCGTGATTTGCTTCAATTGCTTTTAAAATCAATTACACCGCTATTAATTACAGCATTTAAACATATAGGTGGTATTATTTGTTACGTAGGAATAATTATCGTTTTTCCAGAACTGGTTATATTCAGTGCGGTATGTTGTTTCATCAGTACATGTCCAGTAAAAATGCTGGACGTGTACACTTTAAAAGACTACGTACGCAACGGGCAGTCTTTTAATGTGCATACAGATTGACCGATACACGCTTGCGTGCCGTATAAATGTCTGCAAGTTGTCACCTGATCTGGAACACGGCGGTCACCTCCTTACAGAAATCTGTTCCGTGTTTGACGGACTTGAGCAGCTCTTGGTAGATCTTTGCGTACTGCGTGTAATGTGACACAACGTGCCGTGAAGGGCATTATACATTACAAAGTTTGCACAGTACTGTACTTCCATGTAAATTATTAAACTCCAACTCGCCGCATGGTCTGCTCATCATAGAAACATCGCAAACAGGTACCCTATGATTAAAAACGGGAATAAAAACGTGCATATTATTCGCGAACAGGTGTGGTCCAAAGTTAACGAAATAACGAAATAAAATCCATTTAAAAAATATATTACAAATATAAATTAAACCTAACTCTTCGATGCCTTCTCCATCACTAACTGTTAATGCGCTTAATTATTTTTGAATACGTATGAAATGCTTTGAAAATAGTTATGGTCGGCTAAGCGCAACGCAACTGATTTTACTCCTTGTGACTAGTTAATAAACCGGAGTGCTTTATTGCAGGTAAAAAAATGTGCCACAGTTAATTCAGTCATGTGTGTGCTCAGTGCACACGCTTTATAATACAAGTTGTAAGGCTGAGTCAGAATACCTAACAACATTGTGTCGGCACTTGGCTTTGCGACTTTCCATGGCTTCGTTGATTTTTCATGTAATCTCCCTCTGGTTTAAATTTACTTAATGCATTTATTTTCAACCTCACACTATACCCAGCACGAGACAAGATTTGTTCAGTTATGCTGGCCACAAATGACAAATCTAACTAAATAACAGCTACAACTTCACACCACCAGTTGCTATAGTTAAGCACACTGAAGACGTCACCATAATCTCAACAAACACATGTTCATCGTAAAGTCGTGAGCAGATCTAGAATCAAACACTTACTTTTTTGCATTTTTAAAACCTAAAGAGTTCTACACATAACAGTCTCATCAAAGCAAGCTAATATTTAATTCTTACCGTGACTTCACTTTTCGGGTCTTGCATGGCTGCAGCTCTCTTCTACGTGATCTTTATTATTTTTCACCGATCTTGATGTCCTGACATTGGTCGCTGCGCATTCCCCGTATTCAAAGTCAGAGAGAGCACGTTCACAGCCAGTGGGGAAGACGAGAAGAGTGAACGCTGGCTGGTCTTGTGCCCAACTCGGCCGGGCTATGTCGAGTGTGTGTGCCTATTTAAAAAAAGACAAACCACATGACTACTGTCACGCCTTCCGGGGCATCCCCCGCCTCGGCTCTTGAGTTGATTTTTTTTAATATGCTTTGACAACACGGAGTGAAGGGCATCGTGACGACTAGCAATGAACAACGGGTCTGGGCAAGCAATAAGCCGGAGCAGACAGCACCTGCATGCATTTCATTGGCCTGGACCCATCCGCAATTAGCCCCTTGCCAAGCTCATACCTGCACACTACATTCTGCGGGCTATGTGTGTGGCCATTCTGTCCCGTCTCTCTTCCACACACTCACCTCCCTTGCATTTCATGCCAAGTTGATGAAAGAGGCTCACTTGAAGGAGTATTAGGATTTGTGACAGTTGTGTTTTTGCCAATAAATGTAGGAATTTAACGACGTACTGTTTTTTAACTCAACTCTATTTGTTTTAAACTGTATACAGTCCTCTGACTTGAAGAACTACAAACCCATTTGCCTCTTATCCGACCTATATAGATTGCCTCTTATCCCACCTATATAGATTGTTCACAAAGATCGTTGGGAATAGACTAACAAATTGAATGCCTCACCAACAAAGGGAGCAAGCAGGGCTTAGCAAAGGTTTCTCTACCATTGACCAAATACAAACTATGAATAAGATTCCTGAAAAGACCAACTAATTGACATTACCAGTGCCTAGCCTTTGTTGACGATGAAAGAAACACATTATACTCAGCAGAAAGTGATGCGATTGTCCAAGCGCCCACAAACTAAGACCTAATTAACATATAGCTGTTGAAATAGTAAAATCCGTCTACAACAAAGAAGATGCCGGAACCCATATTAAAAGAGGAGACAAGGAGACCTGCTTTTGTCAATGTTATTCACAGCGATGCTAGAAGATATTTTACTGAAACAATGTATTGGGGAAACAATTGTAGGAAGTAGCGATAACTGAGTAAAGAATGCTGAAAAGTTTGGCTCAGGATAAAGGGAAGCAAAACAAAGGTTATGTGCAAGAGGTTAGTGAAGTAAATTGAAGTTTGAATTGATCTGACGGACGGACACAAACTTGAAAACAGAGCAGAAGCTATTGAAGACAGGAAAGTATTGAACAAAAACGGAAAAGCGTTATCATTAGAGAACATACGTGAATTAAAGATACAATTTAAACTGTTCGTAAAAGTCAAACTCTAAACTATTCAAAACTTTAAACCGTTGTTTATTTTACCAGGTAAGGCCCGCTTGAGCTACGTAGTTCTTTTTCAGAAGCGACCTGGCGACAAACGATAGCTCAACGACGTGGCTTATTATGTGGAAATTTAGAGTTGCCAAATACTCTAATCGCATGTTTCTAAATATTTAGGGGAAAACCAGAGGACGCGGACACAATACACGCACCCACCAGGGAAAACATTCAAACTCCACATATGCAGGCGCCAGGGTCAGGATCGAACCCACAACCTCCGGCATACTAGGCGAAGTATTTAACATCTCGCCACCGTGAGCTTGTGCAGGACATTACCACAAGGGATGATGGCCAACGGTCAACAATAATAATGGAGTGGTAGCCAAGGAAAGGGACACGGATGACAGGATATCTACCGAAGGGATGGAGCCAGCCATGATGTCAAAACTGAAGCTGCGTGGATTGCTGCATCGCAGGACCGTGCGAAGTACGAAGACCATCATCCAGCAGTGGATTGACCTTGGCTGATGGTGGTAGTCCTCCAACCCGTTTTAGTTAAATTACCAATGTATTTGGACATAGTAAAAAGAAAAGTAGAACTCTACTATAAATAAAAAAACACACAATTTTGGCGCTAAATCAAAGTCTCACAACTTTTTTGACCGTCCCGTATTTACATACCGCGCAATCGTCGTGCCATTTTCACTGTGCAAAGCGCAAGCGTGCCTCGCTGTGCCCAGGGCTGCAGCAGCATGTGCAACCGGCACCTTCCACCCTCTAAAATTAGCTTACCCACCCCCCCTGCACTCCACCCCCACTAGGGGCCATCCATTGAGAACGTACGCAAAAATCTGTCAAAACTTGACCCCTCCCCCCCTCCCTGTACGCACGCGGACTTTTTACCCCCCCTCCCTCCCGAATCCTATGGAACGGCTGATATTTAATCAACCCAGAAACGATCAAGGATTAGCTTTCCCACCTGATGACGGACGCTTGTGTTGCGCCCGAAACGTCGTGATTTATTTTATTTTATACCTACGTGACTTTACCGAAAGAACCAAAGAGTATGGATTCCTGCAGTCACGAAAGCTTCAAATAAAGATTGATCAAGGATGAATAATATTAACGTGTTTAAGCAAACAGATAGTCCACCGCCTACTGCATTAAAGAATGAAGTTGCGTACCTGTAAAAAGTTTGTCTTGTGTCCTCTCGGTTCAGACGCCGACTGAATCCAGTCGAACAGGTGACGTATTATAGGGATTTCGTGAACACGCGCAATGTCAGGCTTGAAGCACAGCAGCGTGACAGTTAACAATCAGGGGCACGGTGGCACACAAGTGACACCTCTCCTATAGTCCGACTTCTCCCGGCAGTACTTGTCTGAAAGCTGAAGAAACTGAACTGTGGCTCATTCGAAGGCCAATGTTGACAAATTAGTATCGAGGCTTCACCCCCCCTCCCCCCCGTTTCCTATGCGTACGTACATTGTCAGTAGACACCCCCATACGCAAGCGTACGCATTTGGGTTAACCCCCCTCCATGCGTACGTACTAAATTGATGGTCCCCTATCCCAGAGATGGTGTCGGCTCAACCCATCAATCCACACTGCGCCAGGGACATCTGCCAGGCAGCCACCACAAGGGGCCGCTGCTCATAAACACGCGGCTAGAACGGCAGAAAAAAAAACTCACAAAAAACTAACAAGTGTCATGTACAGGGGAATTTTTGGAGGGGAGAGTTGATTTTGCGTCCGCTAGGCGGCGCTGTGTTTAGAGTGCTCTCCTCACAAAAGGTTGCATCAAGTCAACTCGGCCCATAACACCATCGAGTTAGTTAAAAAAAAGGCGTACAATGTTGTAGGACAATGCACATTATCAGAGTTATGTTCTTTTGTTTGTATTATGACTGCAGGTATTGCGGTCTTTGCAAACATGACTCCTTGCAAAAAGGTGTCAGTTTTGTTGCCAGATAGAAGGGTAAAGAACCAATTATCATATTTTTACTGGCAAATGAGGTCCCCATAGTGAATGTTGTGGGAAGTCAACAATGTGATCTCGTTGAGAGATTGGACCAGACTTTTGAAGTGTGCAATTTATATCACTGGCTCTAGGCAGCCAATAGAAATTGTTGCTGCTCATTTGTTTTAAGGAAAATGTGTAAATGAGGATTATTGTCCTTGCTACTGTTTCTTCGTAATTAGTGTCATCATCCTCCACCTATCAATGTGCAATCAAGGATGAATTTAGCACTTGACTTGACCACTTTTGTGAATTCTTATCAGCAAAAATCAGTCAATTTGAAAGAAATGACCAATGGTTGCCAGGAGTTTTCATGGATATATAATGGCCTGAAAATAATATATTTACAGATACTAGGGCCACAGACAACAGCAGTTTCACCACGCTTGTAATTTAATACTTTGCATGGAAGGTGTACCTGCGACATGATTCATAAATGATGGATTTCCAATGGTGGGTAGTTCCAACGTCACAAAATTATTTGCTTTGTTATTATTCACGAGTGTGGTGACCACTGCAGATGAGTTCCCAAGAAGGGGTGTTCTCATTTTATTGATGTAGAATGTATAATGACGATGACGATGTATGTATAATTATTTCGCACCGTATGTAGGCAACCGTGTGAATTGGAGGTGTGGGAATGTGAAAAAGATAATTAAGCAGATTATGATGGTAATTCTGTTTCCTCACTGTCACCCTAATTCTGAAACAGAGATCTCAATGCATTGTAATTTGTCATTTAAATTTCATTTACGATGTGAGTGAGAATGGTTTGAGACCTCATTGAAGCGATGAGATCCCTTTCACCATACACCTTCCGGCTACACACGGTGCAGAAAATTGACAGCAGCTCTGCTCGATATTGGATGCTGAAGGTACCAACAGCCTGCATCGGGAATAACCACATGGGGACATAGATTCTAAAGAAGCACATCATAGCAAAGCTGACAGTGGACAGCTGAACCTCCAAAAGAGATGTCCTGCTGACCATTAAAACTCTGGCAGTCACCGTTTCTATTGTACAGCCTGACGCCTGTACATTTAGAGTTTGCATGTTCTTCCCGTGGTCGCGTGGATTTTTCGAAGGGTCCCCTGGGGTTTCCTTCCACATTTAGAACATTAGTATTTGGCTGCTATACATTTACACGTGATAAGCCACTGCATTGATCTATCATTTGTGGCCAAGTCGTTTGTGAAAAAGAGCTATGTAGCTCAGTGGGCTTTAGCTGGTAAATAAACAAGTAAAAAAAATGAAACTCACTTAGTGGTCTGTACTAGACAATTGAGCCGTGAATAGGATGCGTGGGCGTTCCTTGCACTGAGGGTGAGGAATGAGCTAAGTTGGTGCCTCGCCCCACATTGTCTCTCGGGAGGGTTCCTCCTAAAGACAATTTAAGAGGCAGATATGAGATCTGGCAACTGAGGAGCCCAGCTATTGTGCAGACCATTTCAAAGCACCTGGCAACAGAGGGACCTGGGAACTAAGCATAAAGACGACGAAATTGAAGGTATTAATTCTAGATTTGAAGCTTTCGTGACTGCAAGGCATATTCTTAGGTTTTTTCGGCTTATATATAAGCTCCTAGCTTGGCAGTGTCTCATTCTTCACCTGAAGACGGCTGCTTACGTTGTAGCCGAAACGTCGTGAGAATTATTTTATTTTATTATGTTTTATTTTTATTATTTTATTACTTCCCTTCTACGTGACTTTACCGAAATAACCAAGAAGATGAATCCCTGCAGTCACGAAAGCTTTAAATCGAAATTTTTCGGTAAAGTCACTTTACCGAAAAAACCTAGGAGATTGAAGGTAGTGCACCTATCACTGCTTGCCTTATGAAACGTGGCCAAGGCAAAGACAGCCCAAGTGCCATGTGACGTGACCGCTATCGAGATTATAAACAGCAGGACTCGCCACGTTACCATTTCAGACAGCTTCACTAGCAGTTGGTTAGTTACTGGAAAGCGGAACATCTCTTTGCCTTCTAGGCCAACCACAAATATATGTTTACCCTCGATACAGAATCCTATATACTGTATTGCAGTTGTAGATAGTGTGAAGAAGGAATGGAGCCAGAGCATCATTTAAGCATTCCCCACCTCTAATTCCCAGGATTCAGGTGACATGAAATGGCAGAAACTACTAGAACAGAGGTGTAAACAACCCAGACACAGCAATCATTTTGATGGAATACCTGGGCATTGGCTGATGATGTTTCACCTCTTTATGTCTCTCATGAGAGGCTCAACATCGTCTGCTGCTGTGCTGTTATTTGTCGACGTACGATTACAGAGTGCATGAGAGCCACTGTGATGCATCCCTAGGTGGTGCATCGGGAGGTTGATTGACACCCCATGTCACGTGGGGATCACCCCAATCATTTACTTGCTCACACAGGCGTGTGGCTGAGATGCGTTTGTTGCTGGCATCCAGCAGGGATAGGTTCCCTCCCAATGGTCTCAGGGATGACTGGAGGGGTGGGGTAGGAAGCCAGATCAATTGTCAGGTCCCCCCTCGGGGTTTGCAGTTGGATAGAGGAGAGACTCAGCCCTCTGTCATTCGAGCCTCCCGCATCGCCCTCTCTGTTGCACGCGTTGGGTGTTTTTGAATGTTGCTGTTTCTCGTCGGCACAACGTTACGTTCAGCTGCCCGTTAATGCAACGTCAGGGCAGTTGAGTCTCGTGCATAGCGCGTGCTACACATGTAACAGCGTCTGGCCGTCACATGCTGACTCGTTAACTCACGGCCATCTGAGGCATTTATGGCTTTGACCGGCCACTGCAAGCCCTTGCCACATCCTCTGCTTCCTATTGTGACACACAAACATGCAAAAACGCAACAAAGCCGATCCCCTTCCTCTCACATCACTCTACGTCAACCTCTCTCTCTCTCTGTGTACTCTCCGATCCGGCAGCCAATGTGTTTTTTTGTCGAAGCCCCGAGTCAGAATCAGAATGTTTATTTATATTGGAGGAATCCGATGAGCTCTAAAGCTCTTTATCACAGACGTCCTGTAGGGGCAGGTCAGAAAGTTACAACAGCAAACACTACAAAAATACGACAGCAGTGCAACGTATAGGGAAGGTAAAAAAATATATACAAATACAACTAAACTATGTTTTTTTGTTATCTCATCGGGTAAACCCACTGAGCCATTCGCTTCTTTTTAGTTCATCCTTCGCTCAGTGGGAGCTCGGTCGCTCATCCCCCTATGCTGTCCCGTAGTTTGAAATCCCATCTCCCCAGCCACCCGTGTGGTCAATCCCCTGCCCCTGTTGAAGTCCAAGCTCAAGACCTTACCAATCCATGTTGTGTACGATTTTACTGTCTCTTTATAGAATAATTCCGCTGTTGCTGTACGTCTTGAGATCTGCTCACATTTTAGACGCTGCTTCACGCCTCCGATTAGCACGTTTGGCTACGTACGGTGGGAAATATTTTCAACATGCATCCGTAAATCCAAATTGTAGAAATGGACGTACAAAGCACGCACAGTCATACTCTTCGCCCAAACTACTTTTTTCAAGTAGTTTGTGTGCAGCGGAAGACATTACCTTGGTCAGCAGGAACTGTGAGGCAGACTGATGACACAGAAAAGCATAGTCGCAAGGGACTTGTTGTGGCTGCTGAGAAAATCCTCCTGAAATGGCCCATGCTGGCAGCACTAAACCAAAGGGGCTGTTGTTTCAGCACTTAGTGAATTCACATCCGTTTTTGAAACCGTTATTACGAATTGACATCCTATCGTGGGAAAGTTGGAATGTACGCAATTTTACAATGAGCCGAGGCAGGGGTTGGCACACAAAATAACAAGAAGAGCCATATTCTCGAATTGGGTAAAACACTCAATATTTAAAGAGTCGCAATGCGCGCGTATACGAGACGGTCCTTAATAAATACCGTCACGGAACAGTCCCTTAAAGTGCCCCATGCAGCTTCGGAGCCGCATGTTTGCCGACCCGACCCCTGATCTAGGAGGGGGGTGTTAGCACGATAAATGCGACAGCCTCAGTTAAATTGACAGCCAATGGCTAACACCATTGGTGATGTCTGAACCAGTCCTGGGACCTCCCTACACATACCCGTAGTGAAGTGTGGTAAAACAAACCTCATGACAGACACTGCATGAGAAGGCCTTTGTCCAGCAGTGAATGGACAACGTTATGCACATTGTACTAT